ATCTCTTCCTCCCATAATCCATCACCGATAAACACGACCCCTTGATATGTGAACTTCACCTGCTATCTGTAGAGCGTATCTCGCAGGAGAACGAGAAGGCACTAAGCCTGGAAAAATATGCTTATTAGCTAAACTTCCGGACTCTACAATGGTCTTTATTCTTTAGCACAAACTGACAGTGAATAAATTATTCAACTTTCAATGTTCTTTACTATCAGCATCCGTTTACAATTACGGTTGATTCGTTTAATTTAACAGGCACAATAGCACGAACACTGGTCGGAAAAAAATGAACATAATGGCAAAGCGATAACTGGCAATCACTTTCACTTACTTACCCCTGGATTTTCACGTCACGGCAGTGAGACAGTCCATTCGAAACTGTGACATTTCCTAAAAGCAAACTAATTCTCATTTCATGACGTTTGCTAACATATTATGGTGAGAATTAATGCATTCTGGAACAAGAAATCACGTTGGAATCTTAGGAATTCCGAGTCTATTATAATAAAAAAAATATGCCGCAATCTCATCGTTCTGCGCGCAGCATGAAAGCGGATCAGCTGACCCATTATCCCTTCGGTGCAAAATAAAGGACTTCACGAGATCCTTTATGAAAAATATGGTACCTTTCCTCATAAATAGAAACAGCTGCAGGATATTCCGGTCCTAAAAGGCGAAATAATAATGCTTGGAGGCCAATCGCCGTTTCCTCGGTTGCATTTACATGATTCGAATGGCTGCTATTGCCAAACATTCGATAACATGTCTAGAAACACATGGATTCCTATTAGTGTTCTACTGTCTCAATGTTTACTCAGTGTTCTTTAAAGAAGAGGTCAGCTTCTGCCGCGATTACCACCGGTACTCACTTCATGATGCATTTCGACTTGAGTAAATTCAAAGCATTTAGCCACCAGCCCTTGAACTTAAAGAAAGCGTGAACCACAAATCTTCCTTGACCCGGCCGAAAACCATTAACAAATCCGACTGTTAATTCAGTTCCACAGCGAAGAATAAATCGGTGATTACGCAGGAAGCAAATCAGAAAATGTAATATTGCTAAACCAACTGAACTAAGCTTCCGTGCGGTTGTCAGCACTAACACCAGAAAATAACCGTATATAATGAATAACTATAGAAATATTAATAAAACGGCACGGCATACTTCGAATGCAAGTACTCAGCCGCAAAAAAGGTTGTAAACAAGAAAAACA